AGATATATGTGAGTTTCCCGTAAGAAAAGATGCTTTTTGCATGGCTGGAGATATTTTAAGTGCTTCTTTTTGACACGTAATTCGGCCTACACGTATAGCTACTTTAGTGACAAACCCGTTGTGTAAACTTCGTTCATATGTTTACCCCGTATGATTTCATGATTGACTTGGCTTTCGAAACAATAGGTTACTTTTTGATGTCGATCGTCTTTAGCCTTCCCTCTAGGTAATAGAGATGGTTTTGCTATTCGTGGCTGTGTCTGGGTGTGTTAAGATGTGCTTTCACTTAATATTGATGTGTGACTAGGAAGTGGAAAATGCCTGATGGGGGGGGGGGAGGGGGAATTCCTTGTTAGAAAATCCGTTGGAGCGACGTCCTCTTGACCTGCATTGTTAGCTAGCTGGAACAGCCGGCAAGGTCCATGAAATGAATTTGCCTTGACTACAAATGAACTATTCGTGAGCATCACATTCGGTTTTATATTGGAAATTACGTGACTCGTAATATGGGTATTCGTCTTTGTACTTGTATTTGATCGTTACACACACTCCGACGAAATTTACGGTTCCATTCAGTGCAGACCATTTGCAGGAACAAGACAGATAACATGTTCCCTAAAATTAACGCCAAACACTCCGGCGGTGACCTTGAAGGCAGCCAGAAGCATACATGGAATCTTCAATGGGCACGCAACTGTAAAATTCACGCAAGAGTTTAAGGTTTTCCGTTTTTCCTGCACCGGCTGCCTGAACAGCCCACCAGTCAGCGGTGTCACGGTTCCAATGCGCAGCCCTACGGTGTCCTGAGACAGCGGTGTGATGCGTTGTAAACACTAGCTGGCATCTGGTGTCCGCGTCATGTTCTTTTCCCCATGAGCAATGTCTGTGACTGAAAACTCAATCAAAATACATCTTACTTGACTACAACGCACATCACCACGGTGAGGTCATCTTAATTCGGTAGGACATTCACCCTTTCTTAAAAATTGATAAGTCAGCAAAGTTAAATAACTGCTACAATTTTGAGCATGTACACTTACAACTCTAGGCGCAAGCACACAAACCATGTTGCGGTTTCCACATGTTTTGTTTTCTTCTCACTACACTGCGTTGCAGTCTCCACGGGCTCGCATGTTACCGCTGTTGGTCCCGTGACTAACGTGTGGAACCGGTTAACGGTAATGGAAGGGGACGGCCGTCTATCGAAAAGCTGTATTTTTTTAACGTTTTCTAACGTAAGTTCGTACGTGTGAAAGAACGTTTGGGCCGTATTTTTCATCGGACAATTTTCATATTGATAGTGGGATCCGACTAGCATTTTCGGCACGAACTCTCGAGTAACTATTGAACCTCTGTCGTTTTTATGTTGAAACTGATAGAATATTCATAATAAGATTCACCCATAAGATTCACCATAAGATTCACCCTTGTTCCAACCCTGTGCCCCGCAGGGTGGTCGATGATGTAAAGGTTTATTAGGAGTTTTTAGTCTCCCAGGTTTGCATGACCCATATGCTTTCTGAAATATAAATAGAAATGATAAAAAAAACAAGTAGATTGACGGACATTGGCCAATGGTTTGATGAGACAATTTTGATGAAGGTCGCGAAGGCTGCCTCAGAGACGCCATCTCTTCCATCATCTAAAACCTCCTCCTAAACAAGACCCATATGTAGTTTTTCTGCGTTCGCCTGTGCTCAGGTTAATGAAAGCTTTATTCGGATACGCGGAGTCTGTGTGTTGTTAGTTGGGTGACGAAACCCGCCATATGCTTCCTGGTGACTTTTGACCCCCTGAGTTTGAATAATCCGCTGGGTTTTTGCAGTCAGATTTATGGGGGTCGGCGATAGTTCAATGAAATGTATAGTTCATGATAGTTCAATGATATTTCAAAATAATGGTTTGAAAATAATTGTTGCCACCCTACATAAATAAATAAATTAATGAATAAATATATAGATATATGGATATATCTTATCGCCATTTCCTTCCCGCTAGACCGGCTATGCCGCTTTTCTTTGTACCGATTGCTTTGGCGTAAGGTAGGTAGTGTTTCAGGCTATGTGTCACACGACGTGGTTTTTTTGTTCCTTGAGAAGGCATTGTCCCGTGAAGATAATTTCCACACCTGTGTTGCCAAATCTGGGCTGAATGTGAGTTATCCTCCGGTGCATTGGAGGCAAAACAATATCATTGCCGTTGCAATTTAAAAAATTACAGGGTCGCAAAATTAGAGTTCCGCGCATTTTATATCAATATCAATGTGCACCGGGAGGATACCAGAGCGGAAAGGTTTCACTGTGCTTGTGACCCTGGCTTTACATGCACACTGTTTTCGCTGCGATGCTTTTTCGTGCCGTGACTGCAGGCGCACCTGATGTAAGAAAAACCTTCAACCCCTAGTTTTTCGACTGAATTGGAAGCTATGCCGAGTTAACGACCCCAGTATGCCAGGAGGAACTGATTATACGACGTTGCGATGCCACATAGCGATTACACTGTCGGTTCTCAATATTTCGAGCTGTGTACGTCCTCAAGAGACTCCTGAAGATGGGCACACACAAGCACATGAGAACGTTGAACTCATACCCCCAGACTTACCGCAATGACAGCGAACCACGGTCAGACCGCGCAAAGCTGACAAGCGCGGAACACCGCGTATTCCTATTCCCCGAATGTGCTCTCGGAGATTAGTTTATTAGGAACCACCTTATTTGCGACGCGCGAATTAAATTTAAATCATTAACAAACGGCCATTTCCGAGCATTTCTGTCAATACCACCACCCCAAAGCGTTGTCTAGTACCAACTTTATTTGTTCTCACTGATACTCTCCGCCAGCTTTGACAAGACGGACGGGCTAATGAAACACGAGTATATTATAATAAAATTGAAATACGATCGGTAACACTTACAAACCACTTAACGGGCAGGCACGAGACCCCACGTAAAACCACATGTCATCTTCGATGCCTGCCATGCTTACAAAGTCAATGGAACGGCACTGAGCCAATACATACCAAATGCAGGGAATTTCCGTGAAATGCGCTTAGTAGTTTATCACTTGTAACGATGAATCCAAAAATTCTAATGACAACCGAGAGACGAACACAGGCACTGCTGTGCCCGTCCTCGGAGCTCACTACAGAACGAGAGCGCGGCAAAATACAAACAACTCCCGAACGAGAGCGGCCTCTCGGTCTGGCGGCCGGGGCGCCGCGGTCGGGCGTGCGCCCGCTTACACTAGAACGCTTCCATGATTGGCGGCCTCCCTCCACGAAGAGAGCAATAGAGACGAGACACCTCGTCTCCTCTGCACCCGTTCCGCCCAGGCACTTCAGCGCACAGTAGCAGGGCATGCTGCGGAAAACGGCGCGCTACTGAGGGCCGCTATTGAGGGTCGGGAGTCGCGGCGGCGCGGTCGCCGACTCGTGCCGTCTCGGGGCGAGCCGTGGCGGCGGTGCACCATACCCGTCGGTCACGTGCACCTCGGCAGACAGCGGCGACGCACCAGCACAGACCGGCCGCGGGCCGCCACGTCACCAGCGGAGGCTAGGCCGCGCCACGCACCAGAGGACGCCACACGGGCGCCGCCGACGGAGCCGCCAAGCCACAGAGGGCACCGGCGGCCAATAGGAGAGCGCCGCGCAGGGCGGGGGCGCCGGGCAGGACGAGAGTGCCGCGCAGGGCGGGCGCCGCGCAGGACAGGGGCGTCGCGAGCTCGGCGCGTTCGCCGTCAGCGCGCGCCGTCACCACAGAACGGAAGACATTCAACCTTGACTGGTGCAGCGGGAAGATCAGGGGTGCGGCGGCACTGCGCTCGACTGACGGGCGACGGGCCCAGTCCTTCCTCCAGCCCGGGTTCGGCGGGTGGGCCGAGCAGGTCAGGGGTCAGAGGGCGGGCCGGGGGCGCGCCGCTGAGCCGGCCGTGCCGCTCACACCCACCACATACGGGCTGGCGCCTGCCGGGTGCCACGAATACAGAGCGAAATGAGACAGGTGAACCAGTGGCAATGGTAAATGCTCCCTCCTGAGATACCCAGATAGACTGCAGCGCGGAATGGTCCTCACACAAGAGAATGCGCGGCCAAAACAGCGCTCTGCCGCCAATGCTGCCATGGAACACGGCCCGCCAGCACTCGTATACGCATTTATCCTGCCAACCACCCGAAGAACAATCGCTAAGACTCGACGAGCAGGACAGAGCAAGGCGAAACAAACTCCGCTTCAATCCGAGTGTTGGTGCACCTGCTTTCAGCGACAATACGTCCGGGAAAGCCGTTATCAAGTCGCCATTTTCAGCACGCGTGCACGTCGCGTCGGTGCCAAGCCAAATCAAATCACCTAGAAAAGCACGATAGAGTTCACCACGAGCGAGCCAGCGACAAAATTAGATCAGAGGCGGGCGGTCCGCTGGGAGCAGTCCCGGCCCGAGGCTGGAGGGCGAGCGGCACCACTGAGTCCAGGCTGGGCCGTTCGAGGCCCGAAAGCGGCCGAGAGACGGCGACGCCCGCGTCCCGCCGACAGGCGTCAGGGCACCTCGGCGCCGGACGCCGGGCGCTCTCTGCTCTGGTCGTGGCGGCGTCCCGAGGAGGGCGGGGCACGGGGGAGAGGCCCGCAGTCAGTAGCGCGGAGACGGAGCGGCCGCCGGCCGGGCACCGCCGTCGGGGGCCGGAGCCGGCGCGCGTGGGAGACGTCACTCCACAAACCAGCAGCCGGTGAACGCAGGCGGGGCCTGCGTCCGCGTACAGTCACGCCGGCCGGACCACCACCGCGTCGGCGGCCGGTGACGAAGCCGATGCGGACGAGCGGGCGCGGTCGACACTAGGTCAGCGGCGGCGCCGGCGCGCCTGCCGCCAAGCGGAATGCTTCGGCGGCGCGGCGCCGCTCACGAGGCGGCGCGCTGCTCTCGCGGCGATCCGGCGGCGCGCGCGTGCGGGCGCGGCCGCGCGCGGTACAGCGCCGCGAGCAGGGCGGCGGCGCGCGGCGGCGCGGCGGCGGGTCAGTTGCGGGCGGCGGCGGCGGCCGTCCGCTGCCGCTGATAGGCCTGCCAGCGGGCGTCGTCCGACTCGTGCGTCAGGTAGCGACAGCGCAGCCGCTGCTCCAGCACCCGCAGGTCCGTCCAGCACTCAAAGTCCTGCCGGCGGGCGGAAGCGGTCAGCCGGGCGGGGGGCAGCAGCGGGACGGCGTGGACACATCTGTCCGCAGTACAAGCGGCCGCCAGTAATGACGGCCCCAAACGGGCTGTGACGGTGAAGGCCCACACCGCTCGAGCGATGGAGGCTATGGTTGAACATTATCTGGCGGGCCGCCAGCCCACCAGCCGGCCGCGACGATGACATTAACATGAGCGACTTTTGACCCAGGGCCCGTCGCGGCCTGCCTCGCGCCAAGACCCAGCGCAGATGATGATGATTAGTATTATGGAGCAGACTTCATCCCCGAAGACCAGCACCTGCAACCGGGCCAGCAGACCAGCACCTGCAACCGGGCCAGGAGACCAGCACCCGCAGCCGGGCCCGCAGACCAGTGCCGGCAGCTCGACCCGGAGACCAGCACCTGCAGCCGGACCAGCAAACCAGCACCAGTCTCCCAACGCCCGAGCCTCACCTGTAGCCAGACGTGCATCAGACTCTTGTCGACCGTGTAGCGGCGTTGAGCCTTCACGCGCAGCAGACAGCTGATGAGATCGATGGCTAAAACAGCGGGCAGTCGGTGGTCAGCCGCCGGACCAGCCCGAGGACGCGCTCGAGTCGCGGCTACACATCGCGCGCACCGGGCGGTGTGTGTGTGTGTGGGGGGGGGGGGGGGTAGCGCACGCGATGGAGGGCGAGAGCTGCTCCCAATCGTGGAGAACGACAGCGTCCTTGCCCAGTGACGTCGCATGGTGAGACAACAGTTCGTCACTCGCGGCTATGTAACTTTACGTTGGGATGTTGCTGCACGGAGCACAGGGAAGCAGCGCAGCCCAGAACCAGTCAGCGTGCGTTCTAGTTGACATAAGACCGTGGCCTGAGTCGGTCCACAAGCTGGTAAGGGCGACACTCGCGGTCTGTTGTGATGACGTGTGTCCCCGCGCCATGCCCGCCGCCGGTGCTGTCCGGGTGGTTCCCTGGTGGTGAGCAGACCTCCCACCCCCCCCCCCCCCACCCCCCTCCAGACACGTGCCCTCGCTGCACGGTCCTCAGAGCGGCAGGCCCACAGCCCGACATCCTAACGCCGCCATTTAATGAGCGGAATACCTGGACACGAGTCGACACGCTAACTGACTATGCGTGCTGGAGCCTTCACACTCGCTCGCCCGACACGAGCGGCACCACTACTCGGTCGTCTTGTGCACGCTGATGTCAGAACGGAGCCTCAGTGTGCTACCTCTGTTCATTATCAGCTCTGCCCCTCTCCTCCGCTGGTCTACACCACGCGCCACACGCGCGCACGGGCGCCGCGAACCGGACTGCCACCGCCCCGTCCAGCTCACCCTCCTGGCTGATGTTCTTCCACGGGTTGGGCGGGAACATGAAGGCCGCGTTCTGGATCTGGTCGTTGATGTCCTCGTCGTCGTGGAAGGGGAACGTGCCGCTGAGGCTCACGTAGATGATGATGCCCACCGACCACATGTCCAGCGACCGGTTGTAGCCCTTGTTGCGCAGCACCTCGGGCGCTGGGGGAGGGCGAGGGGGCGGGTGAGGGAACAGGCAGCCAGCACGGCGCCCCAACTGACGACGCCTGGGGCCCAACAAAAGAGCGGATGCAGGGCTCCCTCCCACTGGTGACGATCAGAACCGTAACGCGAATGACCCGTGGGGACAGCAACAACACACTCATCACATGGTCGTGGCGGGGCGTCCATGAAGCACGACACATCTCGATTGACACGTTTGACACGTCACGACACATGGACCGTCTGAAGACACATGACCGACCGACCGTCATGGACTGAAGACCGTCAGTCAGAAGTTCTGGGGCGTTTAGAACTTTGGAACACGAAGTGCATGCACATACATAACCCTACGTGTACGCACCCACGTCTGTACCGCCCGTCGGCCAGTTCCACGCCCGCGCCGGCTGACCACTCAGCCCTCCACGCCTGCCCAGTCCCCCCCCCCCCACAAACCACACCTGCTTCTCCCACGTTCCCCTCCCCACTCCCGCCTACACGGTCCAGCGACCGCATCCCTGTCGAGATGATGCTGATGATGGTTTGGGCTTAAGGGCGCGCCGACTACCACATGACACCCGTGTCGCCGCCGGTGAGTGTCCACCGCCGCCGCGACGCCGGCGCGCGGGGCACCGCCGTCCCCAGCCCGTCCGCGGGGGCGCCGCTCACCACGGCTCACCACCGCCGCCCCCAGCCCGTCCGCGGGGCCGCCGCTCACCACGGCTCACCACCGCCGCCGCGACGCCGGCGCGCGGGCCGCCGCCGTCCCCAGCCCGTCCGAGGGGCCGCCGCTCACCGAGGCTCACCACCGCCGCCGCGACGTCGGCGCGCGGGCCGCCACCGTCCCCAGCCCGTCCGCGGGGCCGCTGCTCACCACGGCTCACCACCGCCGCCGCGACGCCGGCGTGCGGGGCACCGCCGTCCCCAGCCCGTCCGCGGGGCCGCCGCTCACCGAGGTACGCCGGCGTGCCCACCACCGAACGGCGGAACGAACGCTCGCCGATGATCTTGGCGTAGCCGAAGTCGCAGATCTTGATCTGCGGGAACTCCTCCTTGGAGGCGAGCAGCACGTTCTCCGGCTTGAGGTCGCAGTG